GTCTTTGAGTTCTTCGATCCACTTGGCAACCTCGGCCGCAGGTTTATTTGCGAATTGAGGAGGTGGATGAAAGGTAATTTTATTGACATGCTGCAAGACATGTTCGGGAATCTTTATTCGCGGTGCCGTCGCTGCCGTTGCTGCCCCGGCCGCAACTGCAGCACCAGGCTGGGGATTCTGGTTTTGAGTCGGGCCTGCGGCACTGGCGGGGGTAGCCTGTCCCTGTGAGCCTTGACTGGTAGCTGGAGTCTGTTGAGGTTTTTGTTGAGTAGTCGTTGGCGTTCCTGCAGCTTGCCCGGGAGGGTTTGACTGTCTAGATGATGGTCGTGCAGGCTGTCCCCCTGGTTGACCCTGTTGCGCTTGCTGTTGTTGCTGAGCTTGGTTCCTTCTCACTTGAATCTTATTAATAAGCATTTTCGAAAAATCAATAATCTTTTGTCTCGCTGCAAGCTGATCTGGGCTGTTTGCGGGCGAGGTATTGGCCTTGTTCCACAACCCTTTAAGACCTTGTTCATACTTGTTCTTCTCTTCCTCGCTCAACATTGGAAGATTTCTGATCTGGGTTGGCTGGTACATCGGCGGCCGCGGCTGCTGACCAGCAGCGCTTGACTGTCCTTGCGCTGGGGCCTGCTGGGGAGCTTGTCCTTGTGCGGGATTCATTTCGTCGTCGTCACGGTCGACTGAGGGTCAGGACGGACAGAATGCTGGGTACAGGAATCAACTCCCCCGACGAACGGTTTGCTGGCACAGCCGACTATTATTCTTAATCGCCAAAGGAGGAGGTACAATATTCGAAACAGAGATGGATACAAGGACCACCGTGATGGCGATATCTCGTCAACGCGATACCGCACAGTTCAAACGTCGTTGTCAATAGATATACTGGTGGTCCAGAGGGACGTCTGGTGTGTCAACCAATTGGCAAGTCTGCGCCTTCCATGGTGGTCATGACAAAACAAACCATGGGTCGGAAAATCCGCCGGCCCTATGCCACTGGGGGCTTCAGTCGCTTATGTAATGTTTGTTCTACTCAGTCCTACCCTATGCATCTTCTGACAGCGTACTGCCTTCATCCGATACCACAAAAAGGCGCATGAAATATGGTACTCTCGTATTTCCGATGTGTGAACATATTATTGGTGGCCGGGAGTAGCGAATGGCAATTGTGATTACCTTTGCAGGATACTGTGAAGACCTTAGAGGGGTGTAGGATTTGTACGGCAGTTTATGCAGAATCTAGACACCTTTGTTTTTTGCCCCTATATACTGCGAGCTATTGCTTATCCCGCGCCTGGGAGAACATTTCTGGGAGTGTGGTTTGGAAAAGTATGCGTAGAAGTGAGTGTCGTGGCTTCAATTGTCACCAAAAAACGACAACAGTTAAAAAAACTAACCATTCCAGGGTACAGGGTAGGTAGGTATTGGGTAGTCGCGTAGTAGCATTTGCTTGGTGATGTCGCCAGATATGCAAATGTATCAGGACCATGCAAATTCGTTTCACTCACGTGCCATGCGTCTAGAATATTCCAATGCCTCGGTTGCGGAGGCACGAAGTGGCAGTTGCCATTTTCTGATACCAACAAGGAAATGCCCAATGCACCACACCCACCGCACCCACCACACTCATCACGTCGATGCAACGATGCAACAGCATATCATCCCTGTCGTCTCATAGCATGTGTACATACAGCTTATCCCATCGTGTGCTGTTGGGACTAATCTGGCCATTTCATTTCATAGCACTTTATCGTGCCAAGTGCATGAGAAACCAAAACCGCGACAAACATTATGCTGACGAATAAATCGACCAGGGCCTCCCGGAAACAACTGTCACATTACTAGTAGCAAAGGCAAAAGGCAGCAATGACACTCCTCTGCATTGTTTGGGAGCTCTTTTTTCACACGGGCAACGCAAGCAAATCAAATCGCCGTGTCGCATGGCAGAGTCGCCCAAATCTGAAACGCAAGTGACCCAAGGACCGGGCAAAACGTACGAGACTCTCTCGGACAAGACAGAGCATGGCACTGTCAGCAACCATCACAGTACCCCATATATAATGTTGTTGCCCATGGATGACTCTCGCCGAAGGTGTCCAGAGACAACCCTGTCGCTATTACATTGTACATAGCATTCTGCCACAGGTCGACGTAGCAAAAGAGGGCAGTTGTGTCCTACCCAGGCGCCAGGCTCGGGGATCTAGATGGCGCTTAGGCATGATACAAATAAAGATTGCCAAAGAAAAAATTTTCTTCCCTTCGCCATCATGGTCTACTGCGCATGGGCTAAGTTTGCCAACCTCTCATCCTCCTTTTTTACTGGCGGAGAGACTGACTATGCTGCGAGGCTATGGGCACTCGAGAGGTGACGGCTTGCGATAGTCGGAGCATTGCTGCCCAAAGGTGGTCCATTATCGTGCATTATGGCCCATGAAGCCCTGCACGGGGGTAATCAGTAAAACACTACGACATCCCGTTGGCTAAATGCACATCAACAAAGGGGCCGTGGACTTGCGACATGGCGCTGATTTCTGTGCAAGCGGAACGGCAGTGCGTCGTCTTGGTCCCTTGTTGGTTCTCGAGAGCGACCCGCGATGCTCCATTTGCAAAGTGTCTGGTGGTGTTTGCTCAACATGGCAGTCAAGGTTGAAGCAACGCAACCACTCCGTCCGCAGTACGCACCAAATACGTTATTATGTATATAATGCTGGACGTGACCGCAGTTCCCGGTGTCTGACGGAGGTGAAGGGACGATGAACACCACCCTGGGCATGGAGGATTAGTCGGCGTCTTTTGTGTGCCGCCGCCACCAATCCCATCAGCTCGCCCGAGCTCAAACTGACGTTGACGACCTGGTTTGCGATTCACACGGCTCTTGTTCAATCAATCTCGTCAGTTCCAAGGGCCACTGGGCCTGCCTCGGCTCCCCTGTTCAACGGAGCAACTAGTCATCTGCGCAGTTCCAGCTCCCAGCTCTGGCTCCAGCCAAGTCCCGAGTCTGATTCAAAATCCGGCCAGCCAGACCCTAACTATCAAGAGTTTGGTACCTGACAAGCCTCGTGGGACTTGGGCCGCAGCTGCATAATTGGGACTGAGACTGTTGCCTCGAACTTTCTGAAACACAAACATTCATCCTATGGAGAGCCGTCATTGATCCGGCGTTCGTCTAAGGCACGGTGTCCTAGTCTGTGTGCTCCGTCCGCATCTGCGGTGGTGTTGTTGAGTCGGAGGACAGTGTGCTCGGCTGCGAGACGGCAAGCTTAGCTGACCACTTGCGCAGACGTTTTGTCTTGTTGGGCTGGATGTGCATAAACGGCGTCCAGTCACAGAGACACTCTCGTCCTCGCCCCGGTTCGCGGGAGATGCAGTCTATACTCGGCACACTTTCGGGGCACTCTCAAGGAAAAAAAAAAAAACTACTAAAAAAGACCACGACGACGACAAGTAGAAGCAAGGGAGCATTTTCCATCTTCTCAGCTCACAGACAAAGATTATCCATCTGGCATCATCAAAGTGGCCATCGTGTCTGTTCCACCGCTTTGCTTGCAGGGGTCCCGTCATCCGGTGGCTTTCATCATTTCCAAGTCCAAAAGCTCCGTCAGCACTCAGAGCTGCATGTGCAGGAGAAGCAAAGCACAGACGAGTAGCGGGCCGCAGATCACTCTGTCGGTTTTACATTTTTTTTTTTCGTCCCCCTCCAAAGCCGTCCCGTGCAGGCTGCTTGAGTAATACGACGAGATGGTACTTATTATAGGCCCGACGCCAGCAGACTAGTCAAGGAGTCGAACAAAGTTCCATGTCGACACTTGGGACGTGGAACAACCTGGACACTCATACACCCAGACGCTCAGTCGCTCAGTCATAGCTGGGACGAACGAGTTACTCCGTACGGAGTACATGAAGCCCATACCTTGAGCACCCCGTACATCCATCCATATTATATTACTCTATCCTGTCCCATTTCCGACGCCCTCCTCACTTGCATCTGCTCTGTCTGGTTCGTTTGAGAACAGACCTGCCAATCGCAGCGTTTTGCCCCGTTCGCCTTGTTTGTTGCCCTCCCGACTGTCGGCCGGCCACGCTCTCACCTCTCTCCCTCTTCTATTGACGCTTTGTCACAGCCTCAGTCTGGCCTGTTCGGTCTCTCTGCGTTTGTCTCTCTGCGTCTTCCACCGCTTCTCGATAGTTAGCCACGAGGTGTCCAGGTGGATTGACTTGCACCTCGAGGACATACCGCCCCCCGACTGCTGCATCAGCATCTGAACATGATACCCAACACCACCAGGATTTCTTCTTCTCCGTGTTGGAGGTTTCTCCTTTGGGTGCTGACACCTTGACTCGACTTGTTCCGAGTGCCATTGACCGTACTGCTGCTTGTTTGACCATTGTCTGGTTCATTTGTTCATTTACCTACCCGCTGCCGCTCCATTGGTAGCTGCGCCTGGCAGTATTTACCTAGAACACTGCATCAATACTCAACTCTGGAGTCCGGGCACTGAACAGTGTAGCCACAGCCGACATCTCGACGGCGGAGTCTTTCCCGCCAGCCGCAGGCACGTCGATTATTGGACTCTTGAGTATATTCACGATTGCACCCCGGTACCGAGCGTTGCGTTGGGAAATTCTTTTGGCTTCAGTTTCATTGCCCGCTCCTCCCCGCCCGCAACATCAAAAAGCGCAGGAGCAACCCGCGTACACCACCACCGGGCCAGAGCAACGCAGGGCAGCAGCAACAAGAAGCTCTTAAGCGGCTTTTGGCTGACCTCCGGACCCTCTTGCCTCTCCATCTCCTTCCCTTACTATCACGCTCCCGCTCGTACCCCACAGACCTGCATTCGACCCTCCTCTGATAGGATCGTTGCACAGCGGACTGGTTTTGACGCCAGCCCAAATACGTTGTTTCTCCAAAACGGTGGCGGTTGGAAAAAAGAAAGGCCATCCACCAGCATCAAGCATTGCCGTTTGTGCTTACTATACGTTTCTATTACTAGCTAGCCTAGACAATGGGCAAACGCAACAATCATCGGCGCCGCCGGTTGACACCTAGTCTCAAGCTCTCCCGAGAGCCTCCCCGTATCAATCATTCATCGGGAGCAACGGGCCCAACGTCACCGCCAGAAACCCCCACCGGATCGCCACACATGGCCCGCAAGCCACCACAACACTCGGCCGTTTATTTTGGCTACTCTGGTCGTCCACTGGAACAGGACCCTAACATCAAACCGGTTGGTCATGGTCATCAATTTAGCTATCGGAGAGTCATTGGACCGGAGCAGTTGAGCCCTAGGTCATCGTCATCGGATGAGTCTGAGGGAGAAGAGGAACAAGCAGGAGAAGAGTTGGACGATGATTCGTCTGTGTCCGATATAGCACGGCCCCAGAGTATCATCAATTCTACTGCAGCGTCTTCTGAGGATGCAAGTTCTGGTCCGGATGATGAGACCTCCGGGGATGGAGACGACGAGGATGACGAGGACGCGGATGATGAAGACCGCGGAGTGGGGGAAGAAGACTATGAAGAAGAAGCAGGAGAGGAAGAAGAACACGTGGAAGTCAATGCACGACCTTTCTTCCGTCTGCCTTCGGAGCCTGAAACAGTATCCATTTCAGCAGCGGGCTCAGAGGCAGGAGATGAAGCAGCCCGTCAGTCCCGAGTCGCAGCTGTCCCGTCCAGCGCCGCTTCGGGCTGTGAGTTCACAGTTGAAGACATAGATCCCATGGACAGTAGCTGCGAGGGTCTCGAGGTTCTCCTTCCAACAGAGATTGAGTCCAATCGAAGTCGCTCAAGGTCCCGTCACAAATACTTTGATAAAGGGATGGTGCGGGACTTTAAGAACCTCAATTGCAGCAACGACGTGTCGGAGAATGAAGTAGATGCCGAGGGTGAATTAGGTATGGATACTGAAAGTGTCTTTCTGAAGAGGCAGAAGGAGATCCGGCGAAACAGAAGGGTTAGCATGTCGAGTACCGGGAAGCGAACGCACAGCGAGTTCAGCGAGTTCACCGACTCAGACAACTCTGACACCGGCGGTCTTGATGTCAACGAGGTTGGATCGAGCGCGCGAAAACTGCGAAAACGCCTGCACCGAGGCAGCCTGCTTTTCCAAGACCCTCCCGCTCCACGTATCGACGAGCTTGATGAGCCGGACTCCAGCGAGAATGAATATGATGCTGCGGATCCACTGGCTCGCGAGCTTCCGTACTGGACAATGGAGATTATGGAGGTAGAATCGCCATAAGGGCACAAATTATGCGACCTCGATACACCGCAATTGCATTACCTCGATGCTCGAAAATCAAAATTGATGATGGACGGAGTTATGATACATTGGACAACCTGCTGGAACAGAGATAAGCACCCCCACAATTAAACGTGAGACACGTGTCTCTCGCGCATGGTGAAGGTTGAGCAATCTCTGGACGGAAGCGGCTATGATGCACGATTACGAGTATGATCATGAATGTGTATAGAACGACGGATGACGATTATTATTGGCGGCAGTTCCACTTTGACCGGCTGCATCCTGTCAAGGCATCCGTGCTGGTTGCCGAGACTGGGGCTGTCAAACTCATGTTTCGCTACAGCATGACGTTGCACGACCCGCGGCGAGGCTGCTATCTGATTTGGTGGCATGGCACCGGCAAAGTGATACAGTCTTGTCCAAACGCATATTCAAAGCATACATATATAGACCATATAGACTGATTTGAAATGACTATGCTCTGCTTCATACTCCCGCACATCCCCCGCAGTGCTTGATGGCGTGCAAAGACCTGCTACAAAACAACATGAAACTCGTACTCCGTACAAGGATATTAATTATTTTGATTACCTGATCTGGCCATTCTGGGTGACAATGACCATATAGTCGCCTCCAACGGCCACGTTTTCCTGGTTCGTTATTCCCCTTTTCAAATAATAGGGGCTTCGTTTGAAGGCCCAATGCCTGTGACCTTGAAAAGGTGGCTGGCTCACTGGCGTTCTCTCAGCCAAAGTGGCTTTTGTGGATGAAGTTTCGAGGGCGCGCTTACAGACTTGGGGAGACGTGGTGAGTCAGACAATGCCTGAGAATAGCAAATACGTAGTACTATGTACAAACCACAGTGACTACTACCTACGGAGTAGAGGTATGCGTATTTGCAACCTGATTCTGCCGGACATGCGTCTCCCCGAACCCGGGCTCCATTCGGCAATCACGATGAAAAAGGCGGGGAAGCGAGATGCATCCAACAATTTCATCTCTCACAGCCACCGTCACTGACTCGGGTGTGCAGTCCTCGCTCTGTCTGGAGAATGCCGTCACTCGTACTCACATCTTTTTCCAGGCCTGTTACCCTTACCTAAAATGATCAAGCCACAGTCCACATGACCATTGTCCCTCGTGGTCCGGCGCATCCACCGTGTGAGGCCCAACAAGTTCACGTGGGTAGCGCCGGCTCTGGACTGCCACGGATTTTGCGCCCCCTGTCTGTCTGGAATGTGTCTGTGGCCATCCTTGTGTGTTTGATTGCGGTCCGGCCGGCTGGGGTGTGCGTTTCGGAGGTAGTTCCTCTAAAGTTGATTCCGCCAGCGGAGCCGCCCGCAGCCCCGGAGGCGGCAACATGGAACATTAAGCCAGAACCTCGAGCGGCTGGTCGTTTGGCTGGGGGCCCGACGCTGTGCGACGTGAAAGAGCCCTGGCCATGCAGATGATGATGTGTTCGTATGACGAAATGTCGGCGTGACACGGCATTGGACATTTATTAATTGGCCTTGACTTCTGCAGAGAAGATATTTGTCGGAAGATAACTCGAGGAGATGACGTAGAGGAAGCAAGTTTGATGCTACCAGGAACAAAAAAATCGGCTGCCTCCGGGACGGGATCGGATGGCCCTTGTCTGGATGGAGATGTGACAGGCAGCGGCGCGCGGTCGGAGATGGGTTCCAGAAGCTTGGAGAATTTAGGAAGGTCTGCGATCTGGCAACGTGAAGCAGGCGGAGAAGGATCTGCGTAAACTGACTGGGGAATGATGCGTGAGCTTATTATTTAAAGCGCTCGAAGGTGGGCTTTGTTTTTGATCTTGAGACCCTTCCAGCTGGGCACCTGAGACCCCCATCTGCGCAGAAGTAATGGAGTCAATAGGACTGAAAGAGAGAGAAGCCAGAAGAAGAATAATAATCATGAGCTGTTCCCCAGGGCTCTTGGTTGTGGAAGGAGCGATGACCGCACCTACTAGGTTGAGGGCATAGTCGCAACACCGTACTTCATGGGTATCTAGGCAGACAATGAATATGCAGCCAAGACGATGGATTTGGGCGTCTTTGTTTTTATTTGCCGGCGTGTCTCTGCACCTCTTCGCATCAACGCCGACATCAATTTTCAGCTCAGATGGTCGGCGGCTCTGCACCGTCTCGCCTGGGTCTCGGAGCACCGCCGGCGATTATGATACATACACGCAGCCCCATCCTCGCCCACCAAGGACAAGGCAAATACATAAAGGATGGGAAAAAGGTATATGCAGCACCGCATATATTATATCATAAAGTACACGGCGCGTCATGGAGGAAACACACATGGGACATGGATCCTTTGTTTTCTGTCGGCTGCAAACGACCCCCTATGCATTCTCCTGCCCTCTTATCAAATAATTTCCACAAGTTTCCGCGCCTTCTGCCCCGCGGGTCGGAGGGCCGACTGAAGCCATTTCGTTTCCCCCCAAGCTTTGCCGTTAAGTGACATTCCGCCTTTGACGGGCGTGTTTTGTCCTCGGTGACTTGAGCAGGTCCCTCAATTCCCTGCGCCCCAATCCTGGCCACTAGCCACGATCTTCTCGTCTACCTGCACTTAGGAGTATAGCTTGTCATTTCTAGTCTTCATCATCTGCCCACGGACTCGACTCGGCGTCCGTTCCAACATGCTGCTCCTCCCCATCCCCCCCTCTTTTTTTTTTCTGACTCTCACTCATGTCATGTAAGCCAAGCATGAGGGTTGTGCGGAATCTATTGTTATTTAACTTGGTCCCTCCCATTCCTTCACTTTCCCTTCCCTCTCCTGTTCTTTTGTAAGACTCCATTCGTATCCTCGTACTCGGTTCTCGGCACTCCTACACCACCAGACACCGGCCCTGTCATCTTGGAGTTTTTTTCTCGGCTCCACGTCATAACGTATTCATTCACCTTGTCCCCGCCCCTCGACATCTAGACCACGGGCGAGATCAAGAAAAAAAAAAAAAAAGCAAAGTGACAACAAAAAACACATTTCTCCATTCCCACAATGAATACCGATATTGTCCAGAGCCGTTTCCTTTCCAACCCGCAAGACCTCGGTGTCGTTGCGGTTGGCTTCTCCAAGGGTCAGGTACGTACTGCCAAATTTTCCGACATTTTTGCTGTCCCTGTCTTGCAGCTGCGGAATGTAGTAGCATTTAAACCCTCGTGTCCTTGTTGACGCTACACCATTCGCTGCCCCTCCATCTGCCCCTCCATCGCTTCGTTGCGTTCATGCACATGCATGCCCTTCACATCTTTCGTCATCCATCCCCGGCTTTCTTTATCATTGTCTATCGTAGCTAACACACCATGTCCTTCGCAGCCCAAAGCTGGTGTCGATGCTGGCCCCGAAGCTCTCATCGACTCCGGCCTCCTTACCCAGATCAGGGAGGAGCTTGGCTACAAACTGCATGGTGATACCAAGGTCCAAAAGTACGAGGAGCTGATTGCCACCACCGACGCCGATCACCGTGGCATGAAGAACCCTCTTACCACGTCGGCCGTCAACCGCAAGATCTCCGAGGAGGTCTACGAGCACGCCAAGGAGGGACGTCTCGTCCTGACTCTTGGTGGTGACCACAGCGTTGCCATTGGCACCGTCACTGGCAGCGCCAAGGCTATTCGCGAGCGTCTGAACCGAGAGATTGCCCTCATCTGGGTTGATGCTCACGCCGACATCAACACCCCCGAGGTCAGCGACAGTGGCAACATCCACGGCATGCCCGTTGCTTTTGCCTCTGGCCTGGCCAAAGACGACAAGGAGGAGTACTTTGGCTGGATCAAGGAGGACATGCTACTCAATGTTAAGAAGCTTGTCTACATTGGCCTTCGCGATGTCGACAAGGCCGAGAAGCAAATTCTTCGTGAAAACGGCATCAAGGCTTTCAGCATGTTCGACGTTGACCGGTAAGCACTCTTCTTTTCACCATGTTGTCACATGGCCGCGGCCAACGCAATACTGACCTGTAACGTGTGCTAGCTACGGTATCGGCCGCGTCGTCGAGATGGCTCTTGCCTACATTGGTGCCGACACCCCAATCCACCTGTCCTTCGACGTCGACGCCCTCGACCCCATGTGGGCCCCCAGCACTGGCACTCCCGTGCGCGGCGGTCTGACTCTCCGCGAGGGCGACTACATTTGCGAAGCGGTACACCAGACTGGCTCCCTGGTAGCCATTGATCTTGTCGAGGTCAACCCCAGCTTAGCCGCCACCGAGGCTGGTGCCCAGGAGACTGTCCGAGCTGGCTGCTCCCTAGTGCGCTGTGCCCTTGGCGAGACGCTTTTGTAAGCAGTTTTGTAGGACTATTTGGGGATATGCTACTTTTGCTGGCGATGCGAAAAGAAAGCGTAGACAATAGATTTATACCACTGTTTGAGACATGACACGAGACGATGACGGCGCAAATTTGCAACAGGGATGGTTATGGGACTATTGGAACTGTACATAGAATTGGTCACCAGATGTATCTTGAGAAAGCTAATTGGCCATGCTTTTGGCTAGTGATTCGTGATTCTAGACCAAGCATTGTAGTTTTGTCAATGTCCCTTTTGGACGTGGTATGTCTTGTTGTTGATGGACAAGACTGCAGCGTGGGCGTTTATCCCGACGGCGCCGAGTGAACAGACTGAAGTAAGTGTGTTAACTGGACGTCATGATCGGGTTGGATGGGAAGCAAAGCGGGAAATGCGCCCTTGTGCACAGTTGGTTGCCAAGCGTACGTGATGCACCAATGGTGTAAACTCTAGAATGGTATAGAAGGCGATATGGTGGTGGCTCTTGGTACTCGGATGAGTCCTGCCATCTAACCGTGGCTGCTGCTCGGGATGTAAGGCAACATGGAGCCTTTGTTACCGTGTCTCTCGTTGCCAGAATCAGGAAAAGATTGGGATTCTCTGTCCTTTGTTGGGCTGGGAAGACCTACTCGTGTAGGTGTGCACGCGTGGATCCCGGATAGTGACTTGAAACAATCAATCAATATACGTGCTTG